CCAAAGTTGGAGGCGCCAAAAATCGACCTTGCCATTTCTCGCTTTTATAACCTCATCAGTCTTGAAAAGGTTGAAATGAAACTCTGTGATCCAGTAGATAAAAATAGGGTAAGAAATAAATAGATGTAAGAGAAATGGGAGTCAATGAAGAAAACTGAGTGATTGAAGAAAACAAAAAGGCGAAGGAGGTCGGAAGAAAAATCAGGATAGGTCAGTCGTATATTAGTACAAATGAGTAATATTACTTACTTTTTGTGTTATAAACTACCGAACTACACCATTTCTAGGGTCTGTAAGTCCTATGTTATCCAAATAACTGCATAATACCAATCAAACAAATACATAAAACAAGAACACCAGCGTTCATAATCATTACCAATAGAGTTAAATTTCAAAAATTGTGATATCTGCACTGCTGTCGTCTTACTTTCTGATATGTCTTTCATAACGGGGGCATTGCCATCTACCATCGGTCGGACTGTTTGAGTCATGAAGAAAAATGATTCGAAGCTGTTCCTTAAAAAGCTTCTTAAACATCAGTTCAAAATTCTCAAAGAGCAAAATTCGAAAGATGGCGATCGAGATTGAATAAGTTCCAAAATGATGTACAACAATAAAAACGATTAATTTACAGGAATAAGTCAAAATTGATCTGCAAAACACAATTCAGTTGTGTTAACCTAGTATTTCCGGACGTTATCACCTATGATAACGATATCCACTAGAACCATTATAAAAATGGTCTTCCTTTTGGAAGTTTTCGCTGTTGTTCACTTTAAACTATTGTTTTCTTACTAATTTCTCTAAATAAAAAGAGGACTCTGTGGATCATTATTGTAGGAATTGCCTCTAGTTTACATAATTGAGGCAAAGGGTAAACTATAGACAATGAACAGAATCAAGCCACTCCTTTTCTATTTCAGGGAGAGGGCTTTCTCACTTGCTTTTCACTTATCTTTATTCTAGAGAAATTATTGTTTCTGCTAAAAAAAAATAATGAATATGCATAGAAAACCAGACTCCAAAAAACCGCTGATTCTAAATTCCGATATAATCGCTTATCTTGATATTTATTAAGATTCAAGGTAAGTGGTTAGAAGCGCCCGATAGAGCTCTCTTTTACCACTGAACAATATTGAGATCTACCCGCTAACGACAATGGGGTGATGGGTAGTAAAGAAGAAGTCCCGCAGAATTATATGATTTCAGTAGGCCAATGTTGATCACAACCTGCGTCAAGAAGACAACCATCTGTACATCAGAGAACCCATTTTTGAATTCGGAAAGTTAGTCGAGTGGATAGGAGATACGGTATCCCATACTACAATGACAGCATTTTCATGGCTCCTGAATGTTTTCGTAACGACTCACGCCCACCCCATAGTTCGAAGCACTTCTAGACCAATCACTTTTCTTGCACCTAGTCGTTACTGTTTTAGTTTACGATCGATTTTGTTCAACTTTGTACCCAAAAGTATAAACCAAACTCCAGGAAGCCGCGGAAAAAAACCCTCAGCCGTGTTTTTAGTCTCTCCTCTTTCTTATAATACTAAATCCAATATGTTGAGTTTCTGGAAGTTCTGGCATTTGCTACAAGCCTGAATCCAGCTGATTCGCTTCTAGCCTTCTCAGATGTTTCGGAAATCTGAAAAATAGATTCAGTGTGGAACAGGGAGGCCGAGGGATAGGCATCGTTCGATAGCGTGACGCCCCAAGCGCGATGGGTCATGCTGACCTGTCCACGGGCGGGAGACAACTTCCAGGCGAATACGGTGACTAATTATTGCCTGTGCCCCGCGCGCCTGAGGCATGCTATGGCCCGTATGCATAACGCCCGGGGTAGGGGAGGGAGAGGAAGTGTTTGTTTTCGCCGTGGGTCAGATAAGTGACGCTGGAGCGCAGTTTTACG